GCTGCTCCTAGCGAATCTGTGGCTGCAAGTCTGGCATTCATAAGGTTTCTCACCTGTGTGAGTCCTCTTATGTAGACGGAGTTTTGTGCTGTCTCTAAACCCTTTGCCGCATGTCTGGCATTCGTAAGGTTTTTCCTCGGCGTGAGTTTTCATGTGCTTATGGAGATGGGCAGATAGCTTGAATTCTTTGCCACAAGTCTGGCATTCGTAGGGTTTCTCACCTGTGTGAGTTCTTACGTGCGCACAGAGATTATCTCTTCGTGAGAACCCTTTGCCGCATGTGTGGCACTCGTAGGGCTTCTGGTCGGTGTGAGTCCTCACGTGTCTACTGACGTTGCGACTTTGAGGGAAACTTTTCCCACAAATCGGACAGTTGTAGGGTCTATCGACTGTGCGAGTCCCGGCAAGTCTACGGTGGTCAGCACTAGCCAGTGAGCAGTGTCGGTGCGCCTCCCCGGCAGCGTCCTGCTGGCCGCGGTCCTCTCCGTCCTGCGCTCGCTCTCCGCGAGCCCCTCCACCCTCTCCAGTCGTCGGCTTGGAGTCACCTGCGGAGGAGGGCGTGGAGGCGAGGGTGAGTAGGGTGCTCATTCGGCATCGTCGACAGGGGGCGGGAAAGTTACAGTAAACGGAGGGCGGGGGGGAGGTCTCCCGAACATGAACATAGCCGAGCCGGAGAAGTCGGTGCGAGCCGGTGTGCGAGAGCGTTGGTCTACCCACAAGGGCGGGTTACGGCTCGAGCCTCGAGCGCCGCAAGCCCGCACGCCTGCATGCACCTGCGCCAGCTGGCCGCCGCAGTGTGATACTTACAGAGGTGGGCGTCGTCCTGCGGCTCTGCCTCCTTGAGCGGATTGCTGTTCACGGCCCACTTGGGGAGGCGGGAGGTCGCGGGGGTCCTTGGCTGGTGGGCCTTGAGCCTGGAAGTCCTAGCCCCGGCTGCGGCGCCTGAAATAAGAGAAAGGAGAGATTACTCTCGGGCGGAGGCGGAGGGTTCGAACGGAGGAAATACTTTTGAGGGGAGCGCGCCTGCGCTCTCGGAGAGGCGACGGTTAGGTACTTTTAATTTAAGGTCGCAATAAGGTCGCAGAAAAAAGGTAGCGCTGAGCCGAACCCGCCCCTGCACGTCCTCTCGGTGGGGAGGGACCCGGCGACCTGCTCGTCGTGCCATGTGCGAACGATTCAAGAGCGGCTTGGCGAATGGAGCACCGAGAGCAGCCGATGGACACCTGGCAACTTGCCGCTGGTCGGGGGAAGGTGCCCGACGGCTTGCATTCCGTGTAAATAGAGAACCATACACCTAACCTGGGCCACAGGCGTACAGTGCACGGCAGTATGTGTGCGCCGCACACTACACACACAAAGGATGTACTGTGTGACTACACACTCGGGGCGGAATCCAGAGCAAACCACACAAGGCGGTGCGGCTCGGTGGTGAGCTTTAGGAGAAGCTTAGATTGCGTTCGGCGAAGCAAAAATTCAATACTGTGTTTGTTTGTATATAGATTTATTGAATACACTCGTAAACAACTGTTGTATGGTAATGAAAATCAACAGAGCCAAATTGGCGACGCCAAAAGCAAAAGCGCAAAATGATCAAAGTAAAATTAATTACTGAGTTATTTGAACAGGCAAACAACCAGCAGAGACTTAAAACAACAAACTAAAACAAATTTCAGAAAAATATTAAACAATTGGATTTCGTTATGATGGTCGCTCTCAATGCGAAAAATTCCTGTAACAAATCATGATGGTACCGGATAGTACATATTCATGTGTCCGCAGAGTTTTTACTCCTACTTAAAGGTAGCGCGGCAGGGTTGTCCCATAAAAGCTTTCTTATCGGCGTATGACTGCAAAGATGGCCCACATTAAGACAAACC